ACACACGCATATATGCGTCAGGTGCGCCTACGTGCCGCACATGTTGCATATCGCCGCAAACGGAGTGAGAGCAATAATTTTAGAGCCATTAAGGCCGGGTTCACACCTGGGCGTTTTACAGCGCTGGTCGACGCGCTGTAAAACGCCCTGCAAGTGAAATCCCATTATTTCCTATGGGCAAGGTTCTCACTTGGGCGTATTTCAGCGTGTTGGAAGATGCTGAAAAACGCCCTATGCCCAAAGAAGTACAGGAGCTTCTTTGGGGCGTATTTCCGCGCGTATCCATTAGGATACAGCCGGTGCGCTGACTGGCAGAACGGACGGGGGAGGGGGCAGGTACAGCTGGCTCTGCCTCTAGATAGGCAAAGCCAGCTGTCACTCACGCAGCTGGGCGGATCCAGACATAATTGTCGGGATCCGCTTCAGCTGCGGCGCCTCAGTATACCGCAAGCTATAGCTCGCGGTATACTGAGCTTAGGGTGATGGGAGGACGCTAATTTGTGTCCTGCCGTTACCCTAAGGAGAACTATGGGGAAACTCCCTAACCCCCTAGTTCTCCTTTAATCACTGATAACACTAAACTCCTTTAATCACTGATAACACTAAACTGATGAACAGTAAAAGGTGCAAGGTATGCGGGCTAATATTTCCTTTCTGTGCCTTGACCTGCAGAAAATTAGGGAAAGGGCAGTCGCCCTAGAAAGCAGAGTTTGTGAGCTGGAAGACACGACACCTCTCCCTTACTCTCAGACGTCAAATTGGTTGTGCAACGAACCACTGCCAATACTCTTAAAATGGATCAGACAGAAAACCGCCTTTGCAGGAACAATATCCAAGTAGTAGGTATTCCTGAGAGAGCTGAAGGCAATAACCTAATTGATTTCACTGAACCCTGGCTACTGGACACCTTTGGTAAGGAATCTATCTCCCCTTTATTTGCTCTGGAAAGGGCCCATAGAATTCCTTCACACCCTCTCCTCCTGTGAGTCTACAGAAACTGGGTCATACCAGAGTGGCTGTACCATTGCTTTGGACTTGCAGAGAACTCTGCAGCGAACACACAAAGGTCTAGAAAACGCCATAAGCAGAGCTCAGTCACATTTCATGCAGGCCCCACAACCTCTACTCCAACACATATGGCCTCCAAAGCAGCATCGAGGAACAAATTGGAAAAAATGGATAGCTGCATGAAGAGTGCAGCAGTATGCAGATGAAAACTGAATTGAAGAAAAAAAAAAAAAAAAAGGAGTAAACTTTTCTCAGTAGAAGCACGATGGGAATGGGAGAGGTTTTACCTAGCTGATCAACAGCTGTTTTGTTTGCTAGTGTCCAATTCATTCTGTAGGCCATAGTATAACCCAATTGTCTCTGAATAACTAAATCCTGTGTCCCTTACTGAATGAGAAAGAACCCTTTTCATTTATTCTCTGGATATAAGCTGTCCTTTACTGCCACAAAGTTGTACCATAAAGTTGCCTGCGCCTTATGTTCTGGATGTTAAAAGTTGAATGTCTAAAACAAACATTGTCAGTTCAAAGGAGGCCCAAAAAATAAAGGAGAAAGACAATACGGAGAATGAGTAGACTGCAGAGAACTAGGAGAAAAAAAAAAATTAAAAAATTGTGTTAAGTTTATGCAATTGCGTGTCTACACTTATATCTGCCAATGTGTATTACATAATTAAATCTGGCCCAATATACTGTGTTCGTATGGGTGTGTTTCATGGTGTGGAATGTTCAAGTCACTATGAACCGTTATTCTGCTCCGAGGCTATGCCAAGAAGCTGTCTTTAAGGTAACTTGTCAACAGTACAAAGTCAAGCAAAATGTGTAGCAAAATATTATTTTACATACATGTTCTGGGCATGATAGTACAGTGTAGTTACCAGGGGTAAGTTCTGAGTTTTTTTTGCAATTACAACAGCTAATAAAAGCTGGATGGTAGAATAAAGGTTTGAATACCACTCCTAGACATAAAAGGGCAGCTTGCAAGCTTCCATATTTCTATCCT